CACTCAAAGTAAAAAGGTCTTACAGAGTTTTCTGGTTTCAAAAAGAGAATTTTCTTTACTTTCAAAAATAACAGAAATATTCTCTGAGTTGACTCATACAAAAAATTTAAATATAAACGTTAATTTTGTGGTAGAAAAACTGTTTCACTCCTTCACCAAATCAGATCAACCACAGCAGCTGATTCTGCTTGTTAATCACAGCAGGAGGCTGACTGACGAGGAGGAGGGTGTAAGCAAAACAAATAAATAAATAACAATAGATCTACCATTTGCATAATCTTGGATCTGTAACATTAATAGTTTAGAAAAAATAAATTAATCTAATTCTTAATAGGCTCCAACAACAGGTGTATAAAATCAAGCACCTAGGCAAGCAGTCTGTTTTTTTACAAACGTTTGTGAAAGAATGGATCACTCTCAGGAGCTCAGTGAATTCCAGTGATAAGATGCCATCTGTGCAACAACAAAAAGTGTGTAATTTTCTCGCTCCTAAATGTTCCAGTGTCAACTGTCAGCAGTATTATAAGACAATGGAAGTGTTTGGGAACAACAGCAACTCAGCCGCAAAGTGGTAGGCCACGTAAACTGACAGAATGGGGTCAGTGGATGCTGAAGTGCATAGTGCCAAGAGGCCACCAACTTTCTACAGAGTCAATCACTGCAGACCTCCAAACTTCTTGTGGTCTTCAGATTGGATCAGGAACAGTGCACAGAGAGCTCAATGGAATGAGTGCATGGTTGAGCAGTTGCATCCAAGCCATACATCATCAAGCGCAATGCAAAGAGACGGATGCAGTAATCTAAAGCACGCCGCTGTGTATATATAAACAGTGTATCACAAAAGTGAGTACATCCCTCACATTTCTGCAGATATTTAAGTATATCTTTTCATGGGACAACACTGACAAAATGACACTTTGACAAAATGAAAAGTAATTTGTGTGCAGCTAATATAACAGTGTAAATGTATTCTTCCCTCAAAATAACTCTATCTACAGCCATTAATATCTAAACTGCTGGCAACAAAAGTGAGTACACCCTAAGTGTCAATATTTTGCGTGGCCATCAATAGAATCGCTGTGAGGTTGGATGATCAGCTTGGATGATCAAATCTCCAAAATGATCAGCTCAGGGCGAAGCTCAGGGTAGTTTTCCCCCGGGTTCGGACACTGGTGGTGGAGCAGAGCCTGGAAAGGAGGGAGCCTGGAAGATGCCTGGGAGGATGAGGGTGGAGATGGGAAGGAGGTGGGTTGAAGCAGGTGGATGCGTGGTTTGGCTTTTTGAAGGAGCTCTTGCGTGCTGATTGGCTGAGGCGGAGGCGTGGTAATTGATGATGCCGGTAAACTAAAAAGAGTTTCACAGCTTGAATTTATGCCTAGGCTTCATTTGTATAGTGCCTTATCAAGTGTCCTTCCACCTGCCCTCTGTGGCTGAGTCCCAAAACACAGAGGGCAGGTGGAGCAGGGATTGAACAAGTAACCCGCTGATTGAGGGTGAACTCCTGCCACCGTCACCACCATTGCCCCTAAATAAATCAAGTGAAGTATCATAGTGAAAGATGTAATGCTCCACTTGTGAAATGAAATCTGTTGGGCTTCACCTTGGCACTCTTTGGCACTCTGACAACATGTCTGAGTGGCATGCTGCCGAACAGAACACAGTTTTAAAAAAAAATCACCAATCCTTTAAAGTATATATTACTACAGTATTTTTCAGATTTTATGTATAGATCTTTCAACATCTCTTGGTCTTACTGTCTCTGCTTCCTTCTCTCTACAGAAAGGGTTTACTCCTCTGCATGTGGCTGCCAAGTATGGAAACCTAGATGTGGTCAAACTGCTGATGCAGCGCTGTGCGCCTCCTGATTCTGCTGGAAAGGTAAACATCCAAAATAGACCCATTCTGCTTGGATTCCCCTAGCAAACACTGGATTGTCAGATAAATATGTACAGTATGTTCATGTGTCTTGCATGTGAATATAAAATTGGTGGTTTTCTGTATTAAGGACCTGTTTACTGCCAGAGAACTGGTAAGGTTATGTGGTACTTGAAGCCAGGTATTCCTTGATCTGCCTTACCAAGACAGACATTAATCAGAAAGGTCAACAGGAGTTATCTTTTCTTCTTCATATTGACTCATTCTGTTGTCCTCTAGTCAACCTGTCTAACAGTGAGTGAGTGTTTGGTTTCCCTGCTTCACCAGGCGCTCCTTAATCCTCATGCACTCACCATTCCTCCCCAACAGAATGGCCTCACTCCCCTCCATGTTGCAGCACATTATGACAACCAAAAGGTGGCGCTCCTGCTTTTGGACAAAGGAGCGTCTCCCCACGCAATGGCTAAGGTGAGGGTCTATAGCAGTGGTCCCAACCCTGGTCCTCAGAGCCCACTGCCCTGCATGTTTTAGGTGTTTCCCTGCTACTGCACACCTGGGTTAAATGAAAGTGATTAACTGACTTCTATAGCAATTGCAGGAATCCAAAGGAAGTTATGCAGTCATATGAATCAGCTGTGCTGGAGTCCGAACTCATCAAAACATGCAGGACAGTGTTCCCTGAGGACCAGGGTTGGGGACCACTGGTCGATAGCACATAGTTCATGATGAGGAGAATCACTTGGTTCACACCAAAAGTCTTTCTCTTCTTTTGTTGGCACTAAAATCATCTGCTTTGATTCTGTTTTCCAACCAGACTGGTTTAATAAATATCATACGAGGTCAAATTTTAAGATTTTGTCAAAAATTTTAGGCAGTGTTTACACGTTTTTTTTTGTTTCAATAATAAACTTTTATTGAAACTAAGCCATTCAATAGAAGTTTGAATGGCTTTTTATCAAGCATTAAAGTTTATCAATTCAGTCGATCAGGTCAGTCAATTTCTGTACCCATTTATTCATACAGCAGTGTTTGCATAAATGTGTTGGCCTGTCGGACATTACTGCCATATTTAGTACAATTTAGTATTGTACAATGAAATGTGAACAAGTCTGCAGTAGCTGTGTCAGTTTTGGAGCACAGACTTCAGGTTAAAGATGAGTGCTAAAACATTTAGGGTTTAAATGGTACACTTTTCTTCAACAGATGCATTTCCATCAGCTGCTATAGTGACAGGGATAGGAGGTTCATGGGTTACACCCTGGATAGATCTTCAGTGCTTCACATGGCAACACAGAAACACAGGGCAAACACGCATACACACACACGCACGCAGCCACCCACCCACACACACATGCAACCAGTCCTAAAGGAAATTGAGATAACACCAAAAATGTGTACTTTTGAACTGTAGGGGGTAAGTTACCAATATATTATCATTTGTATATTTATTCATGTATTTTTAGGCACACTTGTGATTTTTCTGTGTTTTTTCTGTGTGCTTTGGTGGCCAGTCGACAACATTTTGTTATCACTTTCACTGTTTCTTTCTGCAACGGCAATAAAATAAGTATAAGTTTCTATGTCTGAGTTTAAGATAGCCTTAGTACATGGAAAATAATCTTATCACTGCAAAGCATCAAGCACTGCCAGTTGCAGCCCTACTAGATTTATGTAAAGAGTCAACATCT